CCCGTAATCGCACCAGGTAGGAGTTTGACATTCACAGTGAATAGACCATTCCAATTTGTCCTTTTGTAAAGGGTAAATCTACGCGATTATGGAGGTAAATAAGAAGAAAAGGCCTAGGAGACGTCAAGTAACGCTTATACGGCAATTGACGTTTATCGGCAAGAACGTGTCCTAAAACATAAGCCACACAGTGAAACAGCGCTAGAGGTCTATAACTATCCACACAACTGCAGTATGAAAGTTTGACTTGCCTAGAAACTGTACCTGAAGCTTGCGAAGCCAGGTGAGTTATAGTGCCTATACATGGCTGGTAGTATGCACTTAAAGTAGTTGAATCTATGATCTCTTCAATGGAACACCTCGTAAGCGCGACGGACAAAGTAACGATTCGGGTAAACTTGACATCTATTTTTTTCACAGACGGCCCTCAAAGGCATATCCTATTTCAAACAGAAGCTACCTTTGACCTCCACAGTGAGGAAGACTGAGAACCCGTCCCTATTGGATCACCAGATATTGTGTGGAGTGGCAAACCCGAGGAAGCGGGGAGGTGTGCTGTGAGAAACAAGACAAGAAGGGGTTGGGGACTGAATAGAAGCAAGCTCACCGAGTGTAGGCGACCTGCGCAGAGCGGAAGTGCACTCTTGGCATATGCCACACAAGGAAGAAGTCGATAGTACGACGACCAGGGGTCTCCGCGGCCGCCGGAACTGTGCACTTTGCGCACACAGCCATGCCAAGTTTTGGTGCATGTTTGGACGTCTTCTTCAGACGGAAACCTAGAGAAAATCCAGAGGAGAAAAAACATGAAGGAGTTCCTCTGTATGCCCCTGGCAAATTCCACGCGGGAAAGTCAAAGAGCAGCTCATAAACGCTCCACCTCGCCGCCAGCCAATGCAAGTCTACGCACATACCGCTGGGATATGCGGCAGGAGTACAGTGAGTTCTGAGTGCAGAGATGTAGGTGTGGGATTAGCAGGTCCCGCTATTAACCTGGTGCACGTGGTCTTAGCTGATCTGGGCAACTTCACCGATGCTGGCCCAAAATGCGACGGTCTGCAGCAGAGCATACAGGGAGCTCGACCCACGTCCCTCTCCAGAAATAAAGACCGACTATTATAGCTCCGAGGACTGCCTCCTTATCTGAACTAACTGCGCCCAGTCAGGTTTTGGGTCGAGGTTCTTTGTGTTGCCTCTATCTAGGCATCGGCGCCTGACTTAGGGCAGTGGCAAGGAAGGAGGCTCAAGAGGTTGTGCCAGTGAAGGTGCGTTTTCTTATTAGAAAGGACGAACCCATTAATTCGTGTTGATAAACCGGGTTCATGGAGAGTTTCTTCTACTGTCTAG